AGAGGGTCAACTAAGTTGAACTTGAGATGTAATTGAGTAACCCAATTTGCGTTATGCCTTCTTGGTACACATCTTGTATGATGCTTTCTTTCCTCTATTTGCAATGTAAATTTTGCATTGAAAGTCCACAAGTTGTGGCCCACAACAATTTCTGAACCTGTAATGATCGTAGTTTCGATATGCGCTCGTGGCATTTATCGAGTACGATTTAGTGCTCGGCATGCTCCGCGAGCACGTCGTGCTCGAGTGCCGACGCGCGAGCGTCATGTGCGAATTGAATTCGCCGAGTTCAAGCCTCATTCGTACCTGCCCATGTCTTCTCTGCACTTGATCGAGTAACTGCGGACTGAGTACCGACTTGGAGCGACAAGCCCCAGACTTTCTTCTAGACAGAATGAACCACTGTGGTGGTGGACCTGAGCTCTCTATGTCCCTGTCTGACTCCTTCTTCGTCCATACATTATATCACGTCCATTCAAATTGAGAACTCCTCAATGAGAGTCTCCCATCAAGGTAAGCCACCCTGTAGGTTCTCAACGGCGGCATGCGTTCATACTCTTTAGATTTCGTCGATCTCGTGGCGCAATGGAAGCGCGTCGGTTTCCGGAGTCGAAGGTTGCGGGTTCAAGTCCCGCCGGGATTACACATGTCTCTTCCTTTCATTACGTATCAGTCCCTGTTCCTATTCCACGCCCTTCTTCTCCTTATTAAACGTGGCCTCTTGAGAGTCCCCTCGGATGATATCGTAGTCCGACTACGATACACAACACATGAACGTCATCAAACTGGTACCAGGTTTCGTAGAGTTTTATACGGTACGACTACCTCGATATATCAATCACTAGAAGAGCCCCGAGTTAATATGAATTCGTCCAAATAAATACCATACTCGTCACCTCTTACCTTCTTACAATAAGTAGATAATTGGCGCTACGGCGTAGACCATTGTTGGAGATCTTCGGCTAGCAGTATGTACTTCCATCGGTCGAACATCATCGGAGGGCCTCATAGAGAGGTGCATCGCCTTTCCCAATGATTGCGTTCTTCTGGACCGAACCGCACTGTGGAGAGTCCTCAGATTTCGATGGTATTCTGCGGTTACCACAGGGATGTATTTCACATTTGTTTGTATTCCCGAACATCGCTGTGATTGCCGTTAGGCACACACAGTGTGGGGAGATATGCACATGGTCAAGTGCATGACTGGCCGACGATATGAGATTTTTGAGGAAATTTTGAGAAACCCGCATTGGTTTCTGTACATTCTACTCGAATTCGTATACAGACTCCTATAGTCAGTAAGGAAGCTCTTAAATTCAGTTGAGAAAAGCGAACATATATTCCAACACTGGGCACACGTTCTCAATTCCTGATTGATTCAGACGTGTTCTGTATTACGAGTCGTAATTTACGACTGAGAAATCCAACGTCAGATCAAGTGTTCAGAGTTTCCGATGGGAGGTCAATACTGATGATTGATTCGATCTGGAATGTGGTTCGACGGGATCGAAGACTGAATGCCCATAAAGGCGTGCAGACGATGGGAGCAAAATATCAGTAGCCGCTAAGCCGCCAGCTGAAGTACACAAAGCAACTTGAGCGACATTGAAATACTCATTATCAAATGGAGGTATTCGATGATTATATTCGCCATTACGGAGAGATCGTTGCTCCCATGGGACCATCCGCATCATCCTTTACATTAGATACGGGTGATAGCGTTCGAAGATGCTCATACCGTCGGTACATCGGATGATTCCGAAATTCCAGCAGTGGAATATTATCGGATCATCAAGTGAGAGATGCTTGCCATCCTTAGCAATCGTCGCCACTATCTTATAATTTCCTGGACGATGTAGAAAGTAGCTGCCACCACAGCATTCCATCGACAGTGAGTACAGCCCAATTGTGTTACTCATGAGGTGGCATTTCAGTTTCTGAGATTCCGCCAGCTTATCTGTTCTCATACTGAACAGCATCGGATTGGACATCCTCACCGCGTCGATCCGGACAGAATAACACCTTTATTCTTGTAGAGAACACTGATAGCGTGAGGATTACCAGGAACTCGAGTGAAGCCGAGAAACAAGGAGGGGTACTCCGAGACACTTGGACTTTACTCGCTCGCTGGTTCACTCTGAACACTCTATCATACTATTGTTGAATGTCTGTTGTCCGATA